AAGAATGATGAGATAAAGGAAAGAAGAAAAAAGGAAGAATGAACAAAAGAATGAAGGGAAAAAATGGTGATGAATGGCTAAGATGACTGGGCACTATGTAAGGTTCGTTCTACATGTTACTTAGTTTAAACTTTATGACATAAGCTTCATAGAGGAGCAAGCCAGTAATCAGATATTAAGTTATATAACTAGTAATGGAAGAATCCAATGTTAAACCTGCATTGGTCAAATTTTGAAGCTGCTATACTTCCAAATAAATTGAATTTTTTCTCCACAATTTTCATTAAAATAAATTTTTTTTCACTATTTACTTCAAAAATAAATTCTAATTTATGTCCTCAGGTAAGTTTAGAAATATTTTTTGCAATATATATTCAATTAATGAGAATTTATTGAGTGCTAGTGCTATTCTTCCTATTGGTTATGAGAGTAAAGTGATCAACAAAGTTTTTTACCCTCATGGTATAAGAGATTGAGATTTATGAATAAGACCTAAGAACAAGCAGAGAAAAAGAAACCCAGTAAATTAAAGTATGATTGCTAAAGATAAAATAATATAAAGATCGGTCAGATAAAAGTGAAAATTCTTTCAGGATATGAGAAAAAATTAAGATTGAATGAAGGAATCCGTACAATTGATCTAATGTTCAAATAATAAAGATCTCAAAAGAGGAAGAAGAAAAAAATGCAGGAGAAATGTATCAAGATTCAAAGGGGCAAAAACTACAGAGTTGAACAGTAATAAGCAGGGTAAGTTTAAAAAATTTTGTCAAATATATAATCTTGATTTTAAAAATATCAAAGGCAAAAACCTAATGTTTTGAGAGAAAAAAATCTAAGTAACTCCTAGTGTGTAAGAGTGAAACATACAACATTGTCTTCTTAAAGGCAATGGAATTTTAAACACAACAAAACTATTGATCACGTGTGGGCACAGTGAAGGTACTGTTAGGCCTTTGAAGTCTCTATTTTCTAAAGGAGCTGCTAGAGCCTATTACATAGTAATAGAACGGATCAGAGGCAGAAAGAGAAACTGTGGGTTTCAGAGAATAGTGAATACCACACAGAAGAGCAGTGAAAGGAAATCACAGGGTAATGATCCTGGAGAGCAACAATCTAAACTGAAATGAGAGAATTCAAGGAATTAGAAGAAGATGTTCAGGGGAAATAAATCAGGGGTGGAGCCAGGCCTGATGGTGTTAGCCCATAATCCCATCACTTTGGGAGGGTAGGCAGGAGGATTTCAAGTTCAAGTCCAGCCTGAGTAACTTAGTGAGACAAGAGTCTCAATATAGACATTAAAAAGGGGCTTGCAGATGTAGCTCAGTGCCAAAGCCCCAGCTTTACCCCTTACCCCAAGAAAAGCAGGGAGGATAGATGAAGAGGATGAAACTATTTGATGACAATAAATACCCCAAATGAAAGAAAACATGGAACTCTGGTTGGGGAGAAATCTTTAGAAGAATGTCACAATAAAAAGCTGAAGTATACTAAAAGACAGCAAGATTTTAAGTCAGTGGTGGAGTATAACCTCTGAAAGCAGAACATTATCACTTGTATGGTCCATAAATCATAATCCTGGACCCTGGATATGTTACTGCAATGTGGCACATTACTTGGCCAAAGATTCTGTAATATTTCTATGACAAAAATAAAACTGTTGTCTTTTTCACATCTCTATCCAAAACATAAGAAAAATTCATAAAAGTCATTCAGAAAAGAGCAAAATTATTAATATAACCCTTTATCATAAAAGAGAGAAGAACTTTTTTCACTGTGATCAGGGCATTACCCTTTGAGGGCCACGGGGTTTATGAGATTGTGAGAACAGAGAAGGAAGTCTAATCCTTGCCAGTGCAGTAAACAACCTTGTGCAAACATAGTAATTTGGATTTTTTTAACTTAAAATTAGCCTATAAGTGAGTCATAGAAAAAAATGAAATAATATAAAATTTCATGATGCAGAAATACAATAGAAAAGGCAATGAGATGAACTGCTTTTGATATTTGGGGAAGAGAAGGACCAGGGAAACAAGGCTTGGTGTAACTGTGTCAAATTTGTGCTATTGCAGCAGAATTATAAGGCTGAGAAGTCAAGACATGCAGCATTAAAAAATAAGAAAGATATTGACAGGAACAAACAGCCTGCCTCCTAAATAACAAATAGTGTGCATTTGGAAGCAACCTCTAGAAGAACTATAAATGAAAACCACTTAAAGTGGTGTCCTCTGGGGAATAAAATTAAGATGAAGGTAAAAAGCATTGTATTATGTATTATGTATCATAATACATCTTTGAGATATTCTGTTGAATCTTTAAACAGGTTATTTACTTTATAATATAATTATTTTAAAAATGGAGGTATCACGATATTAATTTCTGTTTCTATTAAAGTCATATTAGGTTTTCTCTATATTAAGATGACTAAAACCACTTTCTTTCTAAGCATACAATTTTGTCTGAGTATTATTTTGATTCTAGGACATATTAATTATTCCTTAAAAAAAAACTATTGTTATCTTCTTTAAAATCTCGATTTCCAAGTATTTCTTTTTCTTGGATGTTTATGCAATTATTTGAAAGATCACATAAGGTAGGTTGACTGAAATTAAAGAGCTATTACTGAGATCCAAAAGCAAGTTCAGGATATGTTCAAACACACCAACAACCCTATAATGTACCCTCTTACCTATAATTTATATATTAAGCTGATTCAAGTTTTGTTTCCCATAAAATACTCAGTATACTCAAGTCATGTATTTAAAAAGGGCTTGCCAACCCCTTGGCAAGTATGAATGCACTTGGGGAAAATTTCAGAGGCCACCACTGCAATGGCACAATGATTGCTACACCCACCTGAGCTGTTAGGGTTTCTTTCCATTGCACAACCATTCAGAATTCTCTGATGCCCCTCCCCTTCAGCATCACAAAGTACCCTTCTCATTAGTCATATTAAAGAAATTACAAAATGTAGCCCCATCAAGGGACCGTTTTCCAGATCTAAATCCTGGCCAGTGTAATGACATATTGGCCATATCTTCATGAGTATTTAAAACACTGGCTTTGAAGAAAGGTTCTGTAACTGATATGATGCTGTGATATTGGTGTAACTCTCTTTGACATAATGTACTGTGTGGCCCTGACTGTGGTGGGTGTCACTGCCACTAAAGCAGCTCTTCCTGCCCCCACTGTGGTCCTCAGGGAAGCCTGGATGAATTCAGTGCTCAGAACCCCCAAGCCTTGGTGACAGTACATAGAAGTGTAAACAGTAGGAAGAGGGACTTTGGCCCCACAGAGCTCCCCCAGATTTCAGGAAGCAAAACTGTAAGGCATAAGCTATGGAGCACAGCTTTCCTCACCTTGGCAGGAGGCCTTTTGTCCGGACATGGAAAATTAGACAGTTCAAAGAGTATGATACAGATTCTTTGGCCAAATGGACTATAGATCAATTTTAAAGGCCATTATCTTTTAAAAATAATTCTTCCTTTTGAACGAGTTACTCCTTTTTGCTTGGAAAAATTAGCCATTATTTTATTTTATGTGAATTCTCTTAACTGATTAAAAACATTAATTTTACTATTTTTCTAAATCTTTGCTTTATATGTAAGAAATTGGATTAAAGTACTAAGTTTGAATGGCTAGACACTTTTTAAAAATTGGTTTAATGCTTTTTATTCAGTTGAAAAACATCTCTGTGAAAGCCTTGAAAAAAGTTCATAGTTAAAATTGAAACAAGCCCAAGAAGTGACTACATTTGCATAACTTGATCTGAGTTCGGAAAAAAATTCCACTGAAGACAACAATGGAAGCTTATCAAATCAGAATTTCACATAGATTTTCCATAGCCCTACTAATGAATACTGACTCATTGGTCAGCTATGGTGAAAATTTAATGGAGCTCTAAGATAGGAAATGCATGCATCAGAATGTGCTCTGTGGCTCCATTGCATCAGGATGAAACTGCATTAGGCATCCAGTTCCTTTGCTGCTTTTTGGGACCAATTCTAGGGCACTATCAAGGGTTATTAGTTTGCTAGCAGTTTGACTGGAGCCAGGCCATGCCACTGAATTAAAATCCCATTCATTTTGCCACTGTTATGATACATTTAGACTTTCGGTAAAACTGGGATTGTTTAGGCAGTTGATCTGGTTTTGTCTTACAAAATGGCAGGCAATCAATAACTAAATTTTCTCTAAGAAAATGTTAATCTAGAGGATAAATTCTAATGTCGAAGGCAAGGTACTGTTGTACTATTCTATGAAGCAATAGCTAGTCCAATGCCTTCTCCAAGGTCTGTATAAATACTCCACTTAACAGACAGGAAAGCTGAGGCTCAGGGAGTTCATAACTTATTCAGTCTTGATGCGAATGAATGGTAGAAGAGCACTCTAACTAGTCTGACACCAGGGACCATGTACTATGTTTCTGTTATGGTGGCTAAGATGGTTTAGGTTCTGTACCCTAGATTATTTACAAAAATATCTCATTATTTCAGCTTAGATTAAGCTTTTGGCCCTGCAGCAGTCCATAGCCCTAAGTTTTCATAACATTAGTATGTTTCAGACTTTCTTCCTAGCGCATATTTCAGCCCCGGACTTGGTGATCAGATAACATTATCCAAAAGAGACACTTGAGAGAGTGGCAAGGATTGATGTAATTATGTATGCTGAGACAACAGGTTTATACCGGGACTGCTCAGGCACATGGGAATATGCAGTCATTCTAACTGTCTACCCCCTAGGGTACCTCTTCTCTGCTCCTGGTGTGATTCCGAATCTTTGGATGCCCAAACTAGATACTTTTTTCTATGGTCCCACCATTCCACCTTTACTCTCTCAGGGTTCATTTCTTAGACAACTATTTTTCCCTGTATTACAGAGCAGAAATTTTAATAAGCAAGAGTACAACAACCTAAATATTCATTTAGAGCTGATTGGGTATAGACACAGAAGAGCATTCACTTATCACAGTTATAGTGCAAGTATAGAATGTCTTGTACCTTTAATAAGTCCTTTTTCTTGCAGAGTTTTCAAGGAAGGTCTTCGGGTAATAAACTTCTTTAATCGGCTTTTAACTCTGTTTTTGTCGCTTGTATCCGAAGCACTGTGATGCAGTCTGAACACTGGAGATTAAAAACAAAGTCAGAGACTTTCAGTAAATTTCTCTTTATGATTATTACTTTATGCAAATATGGATAGAAAACAGTAGTTATGGAAGAACTACCTAAATTATTAGCTCTGGTCCTTCTGCCTAGATAGGGTGTATGAGTAAAATTACGCATAGGAAAGTATTAGTCCTATCGGAACCTCAGTGGGCGATGGGATTAGCTCCATATAGTCACAATTCATTTTCACTTTCATTCTCTTATATTTAATAATTTCATCTAGATAATTTTACTTATATTTATTTCAACACAAAATTATGTTCAGAGTAAAAAAATTATAGGGAGGATGTTTTAGCATTGTTAATTTCACATAATTCTGATCATATACTATCTCTAAGTAATGCAGGCATTTTTGAAGGTTCTGCTTCCTCAAATAATTTTGTCAGTCACTTTTAAATGTTAACTCAAAGTCATTTCTTTTTCAACAGCAGATATTTCTTATACTCCTTATGACATACAGTTATCACAAGTTCTCTATCTTTAGTTTCATATTCTTAGCTTAATTTTCAAAGTCAATTCTGTGTCAGTTTCAAATACTTGTTGAATGTATACTAATAATCAGGGTCCATGCTTATGGCTGTGAATTCAATGATAAAGACTACATGTACCTTCTGGGTTTTCATTAAGTCCAGGATAATGGCATTAGTGGTGTCTTATTATTAATTACTGAAAATAATTTGTTGTGTCTACAAGATAAGATGTAGACCTCAACCAGGTCTCCACTGTTCTAAGTCAATTGTTGACAAAATGTATGCATTTGAAGCACTTTATTAGGTACTGTTTTAAAGAATTTAGGTCTATATATATTTAAAAAGATCTTAGGGTGTAGGGTGTGGGAAATCCTATAATTGAACAAGTCAGAGTATTTTTGCATCCTCCTTCCTCCAGATTGAACCACAAAGGAGTTGTAAATTTCAATTAACAAGATAGGAAGTGTAGGGCTGGGAAGGACAGGAAGAGGAAAACATCTTGCCAGCCTGCTAAGTGGGAGAAGAGCGGTTTTATTTGAAATTAAGTTTAAAGTTTGATTAAGCTATTGGACTAGATGCTATACTGAAAGAATTCTTGCTGCTTAAAAGGACTATAATACTTTATATTACTTTAAACTAGCACAATTCAACTCTTAAAGTTTTAGACCAGTCAACTTTTGTTGTAGGAGGCTGCCTTACACAGGCTGTGTAGGATGCTGAGCAGCCTCCCTGGCCTCTACCCAACAGTGTACCAATCGTTCCTCAGTTATGACAATAAAAAATGTCTCTTACTATTTCCAAATGTGCTCTGGGAGGACTACAAAATTGTTCCCTGTTGAGAATTGCTTCCTTAAACAGCTTGGAAAATTTACAAGATCCGCTTACATTTGCCTATATTGGTGGTAGAAGGTCTATCAGTACACTGAAAAAATGTAAAGAAACTGTGAAAAACAAAACCAAATCTTTATCTATAAATAGCATATATCTATATCTATCTATAAATAGCATATATATTTATATATATATATATCTCTACCTGGTCTATTGCCCATCATTAGCTATTTATTAAATTAATTGGTAATGTAAGTGTAACCACTTTTACATGAGGAGAGTAAATGAGTCTAGACCTTAAAAATGTTAGGATTCACTGCTTTAGAATGAGCTTTCCATCTGTCGCCCCTGGAAGAATGGGTTATACAGATACTCAGCGCTTAGCACTCGGGGTAATAAGGCAGAAACAGAACAGCCTGGGACCACAGGGGGAGTTGTGTATATTTGCACTAGGAGGAGTCATGTCCATTTCTTCCAGTGGGCTCTACAAATACTACCATTTTCCATGAGTACCTTAACTTGCACTGTTAAGCATTGATTTAGGACTGTGGTGTCCAATATGTGTACCATTAGTTGCTTTCTGCTCTTGAGCACTTGCAATTCATCTTGTGCCATATGTTGAAATGGTAATGTTTTCAATATTTTCAGATAAAAGAAATATATTACTGAAATTATTATATTATCAGGATCTTTTTTTTACTTTTAAAAATATTGTTACTAGATAAATTTACATTAAATAAATGGCTCAAGATACAAATGACCACCTATTACTTATATGGAAGTGCTGGAGTTAACTGTTGTGAATAAAATGCACACTGCTTGGGTAATTATAATGCAACATGGAAAGGAATACAATAGAAGCACAATCTAATGTATTCTGGGGGAGGGATCGACTTCAGGTCAGTTTAGAGAAATAGCAAGTGCTCTTAACACCTAAGCAAGCAAAAATTGCTTATATAGAAACATACATATTCAAGCATGTTTTACATTTGTATGGCTGGAAGAATTATTCTGAGTATTTTAATATACTATGCCCACCTGAGATCCACTCGGCTTCCATTCTAAATCCAGCCTTTGCAGTGAACGCTGATGTTTCTGACCTGTGTCAGCAGACAGTTCCAGTCGTTCCCGCTCTGGTGCGAAACTGGATAGCCTTTGAGAAATTATTCCCCAGGGCAGTTTTGTTCTCAAGTCTGACCTTGGAATTGTATGGAATGACCGAAGCTTTTACAGGTCATCAAAGGTAATGCTCTCTATTTCCGCCTCATCTCAAAATCTTGCCATTTCCAGTAGCAGAATCTAAAGAAATACAGGGCCAACCAAGGTATTTTTCCTGCCATTCTGGAGCTAATAAAAATGATGTGATTAAAAAGTACTTTGCAAATTAAAATATACACATATAATGTATACACAGTATAAATGCTAGATTATGAAAATAATTATGTAGTGAGTTATATCTTTTGGGAAGCCCCTAGGTATTCTGGTGATAGTATTCTTAATTAGATATATATATGTATATGATATTGTTTTCAATGCCACCATCTGGCTCCACATGTGAGAAATATCTGCAAGGTGAATTGGCTTTTCAAAGGAACTGGAAATATGTTTTTAAGTGCTTTATCTTATTTCCTTCTCACATATTTTGAGAAACTAGCATACTCTTGGATATGATTACAGTTTTTAACTTAGCCAAACTCTCCAAAGTTGCCTGTAATGATGACTTTCCTGGAGACAGACTAGAGGACCAACTTCTATTTCCTGATGCCATATATAATGGTACTCAAATGACAAGTCAAATTACAAGGCCTTTGCTATCATTCACTCCACTCATTTTGTTCTGAGAAGAGTTATGCAGAAGTGAAGTCAATAGATGACTATAACATATGGCATAGTTTTTATTAACAAATAACTAGAATATACTATATATAAATAAAAAATAAAAATGTAAGAAATGCATGATTATAAAGCAAGGCCCATCACTTGGTCCCTGAGAACAGCAGTAAAGGTCTTTGAATATTACGGTTTACAAATCTGATTTTTTTCACAGCCAAACTTACAAAACAGTTTATGCTTTTCCGTTGTCAAGGGAGAAAAACTTGCCAAATTGTTCTTTTAAGTAAATACAACATAACCAATTAAGGAAAGCAAAATTTAAACACATGCCTATGATAATCAGGACATACTTTGCTTCTGATTTCACTACTGATTTTAACAGACCAATGTTCCTTGCATTTTCCCACAGCACCCAAGTGACCCCACACATACTTTTAGAAACTTGTAATCACACAGTGCAAATAAAAGGACACTTTACTGGAAAATACACAGTGTGGTACAATAATCCATCATTTATGAAAAATAGAATTCAGCCTTTTCTTTTTCCTCAGAGATTCAACTACTTTTTGAGGGTGAAGCTCCCTGCAGTTTAAAGATTTATGTTAAGCCAATGAACAGTTTTTTTTTCCCATTCCCATTTAAACTTTTTATTTGAAAGTGAAAAGAGCTGAAAGAGATATGGGTTTAAATTCCAAAGCATTTAATCTGATTTACATAGGAGACTGGAGGAATCACTCTTAATTCTACATATTTTCACCTCCACGTACAGTTAACCCGAATTGTACTAGCTTCCTAGGTTTTACACAATTTTCTTACATTTCCTTTATGGTTTTCTCTTCTTTCTTCCATTGATGGGCAATCTCTTCTTTCAAGCCCAAACAAATAGAATATTTTTCAAAGACTAAGAATCTTGAATAACAATATGCAATTTAAGTCTCAATACACACAGGCCAAAGGCATTAGCTTTAAGCACCATTCTTAACCATTTGAGAGATTTAATTTGTGCTAAAGCTGCTCTCACCAGAGGGGAGTTAGAATCCTGGGCTTCCTAAGATGTGAGGATAGTGGGCTTTCTAAGATGATCTTAAGTTAATAGCATTACATATGAGAATAGGCATTAGCCAAAACAAGTTTTATACCTGACACAGCTATTAGGGTCTTAAAACCACCTCTGGAGGCAGGAATGCTTATTGTAATGGCTTCCCTTTGTGTATTCATTTTACCATACTAGGAATGGAGAGGGAAGCCAGTCAGTTTGGCTGATGAACATCTCCTACCAGTCTATTTGGGGGTATGGGAACCACAAAAGAAAACCCCCAAATCTTCCAGAATGCAAGTTTGGTTAATATGATCCAGGACTGTGCATCTGCCAGAACTCTTCTTGTTGGGGACCTTATTTTGAAATATCCTTTTTCCTGCCAAACTGCTGTTCTTGAGATATTCCCATGTTACAATTACATGTTGTTGTTGTTGTTATTATCATTATTATTATTATTATTATTTTAATTTGGAAAATCAGAGAGAGCTAACATTTTGTAAATGCTGCTAAGGGAGAGCAGGGCCATTCCTCTTCAGAAATGTTACAAACAGCTTTCTAAGCTACTTGTTTTCACTTTCCAGGTGAGATTTACATAGGGATCGACATCAGGTTTAGATAAATGGCTTTGTTAGCAGTTAAGAGCCCCCAACATGTCAATGCAGCTCCAGGAGGACATCATGGGAAAGCTGGCAGCAGTTGCCTAATGCAATCATTTTATCACTTGGCAGTGTGTGGAGCAAAAGATCCACAAAGAAATGACAAAATAAGGTTATGTCAGGCTCTTT